GAAACGTTTGCAAGAAAACAACCAAGCTCAGAGAACCCCAAGGACTCCATAGTTCAATCCTGAGCTACACATATTCTCTTCTCTTGGTACATACACAGAAGCTTAAAAAGAGTTGTTACTTAACTGAATTATCTTACAGAGTTTCTTTCCATATCACCTATTTATAACACAATGTTAATAAAATGTCAACTAGGAATCTGTTCATTGATTTACAAATGAACTTGGAACCAAAAATATACTGTAGAACTGAAAAATGTTTGACTGTCTATGGAAACTGTTCCTTCCTGCATCTGATTTATATTTGATAAATTTAAAGTAACAGCATACTGTACTTTGGTACTAGAAGAATCTCTCCTTCAGCAGATCTAAACATTAAAACCACTGGAGGTCTCTGCGGTTGCGTCCGTATATATAATTTCTTCATATTTGAAAAACACTTCATAAGATGAGGCTGTATTACAGATATGAGGCAAATATTATTTATTTGATCGGTGAATTAAAAAGCAATGATAAAAATTATCTGTTTACTTTACAAACTAAAATATTACAAAAACAATAAAATGTAATAGTAATTAGCACAAGACATTAAAAAAGGTATGATTACATTAAAATGGTTAAACTGACAAAAGCTTAGTATTTACATGTACAAATTTGTAGATCTGATATTGAACATTACCTGCACAGCATCAGGATTTTTACTTTCAGCTACTATGTCAAGGAGTTCCACATTGCTGAGAAAATAAAATCTTGGGAAAATCATACGTTTAACTTCAAGATACTCCTGACAGAAAATTGGAAAGTAGACATTGTATTAAAAATAATAAAGTGAAATGAAATTATAAACTCTATAATGAGCTTGCTTTTCACTGGCTTCAGTTTTCTCAGAACCACCTAAGTGCAATCTTTAGCTCAAAAGACTGTGCAGCTAATGGGATCCATTTTTGTCTATAAGGTCAGTGGGACAAGATGTCACATACTCAGTAGTGTCCTGGCAAATGTTTAACAATCAGCTCTCCAGGTCCACTGCTGCCGCTGCCACGCCATACCACCAGTCATCAAAAAATGATCAGTGTGTCAGCCATTGTAGTTCAACTCTGCTCTCAAACAGTTCACAAAATTCCAGGAAGTGTAACAATCGACTCTCATGAGCCAATATGAACCAGCTCCAGCACACCACTGCATGTAATGCAGATACGTACATGTTTTATACATACCAGTATAAAACCTGTATCTGCAGTACATGACATCTTCACCCACTAACAATTCCTTGGTTAACAAAATGAAAAAGAACTTTTTGTATAAACTGTTGCTCATCTACTAGTTGTTACCTTTCTCATAGCAATGTAAAAAAAATGAATAGGATCATTATTTATTTTGGGAACAATGAAATGCTTTAAAAACCTAATATCTGTGAAATCCAGAATATAAAGCGGATTTGACCCATATCACCTTTATGAATGTGTGAAATAGAGCTTAATATTTCTTTGAATTTGACGGATGGCTGAATTTTATGCTATTCTTTCTATAAAGGTACTAAAATGCAACTTGGAATAAGCAATTTCAACATAAAATACAATCAAAAACTAATTTAGGTTAGAGTAAACAGATTAATTCTTCTCGCAGGCATTTAATATTTAATATGCTAACAATTATTTCAGTATTGTGTTTTTATTTGTGTTTTTTGCTTATATATTACTCTGAAAGCAATTGCCAACATAGAGAGACAGGCAGACAGATAAATGTGTTTGTGTATATGTGTGTGTGTGTGATAAATTTGTCTATGGGCATGACTTAAGGAAAAGAGGCCTCACTACATCTTAAAAGCTGCACTCCAGATCCTACTCATTTCTCCTACAACAACAACAAAATGCTATGTATAGGCAGTAGGTTGAGCATGAAACTGAGCAAACTGAGGGAGGCAGTGAAGGACAGGAAGGCCTGGCGCAATATGGTTCATGGGGTCACAAAGAGTCGGACACGACTTAATGACTAAACAACAACAAAAGGCAGTAGGTAGTCTATGTTTTCCTGCTCACAAAATTTTATTCATTGTGATTTAGGGAGTGCTGGTTCCTTAACAGTCATTCACCGTACTTTGACTTACCTCAAGAGCCTTCTGTATTTTTTCCAGTGATGCATTGTTGCTCTGCAGTATTTCAAAAATTCCACTAGTTGTAGTTGCCTTAAGAGCATTTGGAGTCTCTCCTACAAATTTCATGATTTCTTTCCATTTGTTATCAACTACAGAGAAGAGACTGGCTTCTTCTGGAAGCTGTCTGTTATTAAATCATATGTATATGTATATGATACCCATACATACATATATCATATCTATATATAATGTGTAAAGAACATCTAATCCTCCAAATTTAGATTTAGCAAATTCTTATGTATTAATATAATGTTAAGCCATGTGCTTAGATAAAGAAGCAAAATTTTTATGCTGGTTTTCCACAGCCAAAGATGACTTACAAAGAAAAAACATACAATATCACACCTGGAATTACAAGAATACAAAATAATCAAAGAATATATGGCATAGCTAATTACCCTAGAGCAGGATTTTCAAACTTTTCCAAGTCATTTAAAAAATAAATTTCCTGGAATTCCTGGTGTAAAGGTAAAGCCACTGGGGGAGATGGGCAGCATACAAATTAATTAATTAATTAATAAAGCTAAGCGATAGAAAACTGTCTGTGCTTTTTGCCCTTTTTTTGCCATTAGTCTTTCATGGAGCCGCATCAAGTTCTTGTGTTCTATGGAACACAGTTTTAAAAAACCTGCCCTATTTCTATTGTGGCAAATTCTATCCTTTGAGGAAATGAATTAGAAGTACTTGCCCTTAGTCTCGTTTGGAAAAGCATCAGAGAGACCAAGGGTACCAGCAGTATACTGTGGATCTCCATCATCAATGCTCTGAATTCCCTTGATTTTATCATGGTCCATATAGGGAGAACTAACACTTTTCCATGTATCCCAAAACATGTGCATACGCATTCCCCTCTTGCAAGAAGTAGCAGCAGCACAACACTCAGGTATAGTTCCTGAGCACCAGGGCCCAGTGGGATACCCCCTGGGAAAAGCTGCTACTGGAAGAGAGGGAAAGGGGGCTTTGATCCTTTCTTATTTGCCTTGGATGGTGCTCAAGAGCGGGCTTGTATTGTTGCAAGAACCTGTTGCCGTGAGTTAAAAGGGCATTGAAGGAGGGCTCGATACAGGTAGCTCAGCAAAAGCAGGAGTGAGGGTGATCCCACTTCCACAAATATACTCATGACCCACCGTTTATGATCTCTGGTATTATTTTTATATTTAAATGGTTTTAATGTTTTAAGTAACTCCATAACATCTCCAGAAAACTTTGGTTATTGGGCAGATTACAGATATAATAAATAAATGCTACTAGAGGTAGTTTATGTATAACAACATTGTTCATCTAAGTACTATTTAAATGTTTTAAAATTCAAAATCATTATTACTGAAATATGTATTGGTACATATTAATGATGTACAAACCATTTTGAATTCAAAGCAGCTGTTTCAAGGTCAAAATGGGCTATTCCAACTTTACCAGAAGGTCACTGAATTTGACACTACTCCAGTAAAGTCAAAATAGCCCATTGCAAACAAATCTGCTTTGAATTCAAAATGGTTTGTACATCTCTAGCACAGTAAACATCTTTTCATCTGTCAAGTACACAGGCTAATCTGTTCAACCTATTTCCAGGAGAGTTTTCAGAAACATGACCACTAGTGGTGCATATCAGAAAACATCATTTGACAAAAATGCAGATTAGCTTATGCCTTCTCTATGGTGTATGTGTGTGTGTGTGTGTGTGTGTATTTGTACATTGTTTTATAAACTGTATTATTATCCCTTCCATTTTAATCTTTGTGCATCATCTAGAATACGTTAGTGAGATGAGCAGCTATATAAATTATATTAAATAAATGAGGAAATACGTGTAATGCAACTTATTGTATTCCAAGCAGTGCCTACAGCACAACAATCTATAGCAGTGGTTTTCAAGCTTTTTAATCTCAGGGCACAGTGACATGATGCTAACTTGCAGAGTCACACATCTCATAGGGACTTCCATATCACGAAACCGGAAATCCTATGACATCACAGGTTACTAGGACTCAAGGGGAGAAATGGAGGCAACCCACCCCTGGTGATGCCACTGAAGCAGGGTTCTAGCTGCGTAGGTGTGCAGCACTTCCTGTCATTTACTTGTGGCTCACTGATGCGGCACACCTGCAGACCTTTCGCAGCACAGTTGAAAACTGCTGATCTATAGCATAAGATATAGCTAGTATGTAACATTTAGTTAATTTGTATTTTATTTTGGCTATAACATGCAAGTTTAATTACAGTTGGCAGTATTAAAGCACTTAAGCATACCTTTTTATTTCTGAAGCATGAAAGATTGGCTCAAGATATATCCAGTGCCTCTGACAAGTTAACCATTCCTCCAAAGTACAAGAAATGAGGTTTATCTTATGATCCCAAGCATAAACAAGATTCTATCAGAAAAAAGCAGAATAATTATCATCTGAGGCAGGCAGAAATCCTCTCTTTAGGTAGAAATGGGGACAGTTTTTTTTAATATTTTAAATTTGAACAATTTAAAATATTCACTAGCCACTATCATAGGCAAAGCAGGTCTGGAAAATTTAAACTCTACTGATTTAAAGAGCAAGGTCTTTCTGGTTTCTCTCAGACATTCCAAATCGGAACCAATCACTTGTAATGATTGAACATCTCAATATTCAAACTGTTTCAGAACATCCCCAAAGAAAGATTACCTTAATTGGCTCAACAAAACAAGAACTTTTAATGGTTGACATTGTCATCAGAGATTCTTCTAACAGAGTAATTATGTCTTCCACAGATGAAATAATACAAGTACTCGATGATTCAGTGTGATAGGGACATAAATGAAAATCAGTTTTATGCCAAAGAGCAATGATTTTTTTCAACATTTCTTCAAGAGTTGTTTCTCTGGTAGCTCTTATGGATATATCATTAATATCTTTTCCATACTGAAACATCTAGAGGAAGAAATTAGGAGATTTACTAATGTATGCTGGTAAACAAAAAATATATATAAATAATTAAGATGCACATTCAGCTAATGTGAATTTTAGGAATAATGTGAAAAAAACAACAACAAGGCCCCCCTCATATGTGACTTGATCACCGAGGAGGGGGCAGGCCTGGCATGCATTACTGAGACCTGGCTGGGGCCCGAGGGGGGGTGCCCCTCTCGGAAATGTGCCCAGTTGGGTTCTTGGTGTGGCACCGGCCGAGATGCCGGGGCAGGGGAGGAGGGGTGGCTGTTGTGATCCAGGAATCTCTAGTGGCCTT